GCCTCCCACCCCCTCAGCCCAGACTCCCAACCCCTCAGCCCAGCCTCCCACCCCCTCCCAGCCCAGCTTCTTCGCCTGGGCATCGCCAGTGGCAGCATTTCTCACCAGGTGTGGGGAGCAGCCTCGCTCACACCTTTGGTTACACTTCCTGCTCCCACATGTCCCCGAATGACTCCTTCAGGAGGATCACATTTTAAATCCCACCCGACGAAAGGCCGAGACCTTGTTCAGAGGGCGGCTCACGGCACCAGAAAGGCAGCTGGCCCAGCCTGTCCTGAGCCGAGACCGTCCTAACCCCGTCCTTGTCCTGACTCTGCTGGGAAGGACCCCTCCCACACACACACACTATCCACAACCGATCGTGCCTGGTGTCCCCTTATTTATCTGAGGGTCTGGGCCTGTGAGGCAGGTCACAGACACAGGAAATGAAACCCCCGAGGGCCCCCTATGTGCCAGAGAATGAGTGGGGTGCTTTCCACAGACTATCTCCCCCGCCCTCACAATGGCCTGGTGAGCTGGCGGGTTCCCCCCATACAGACCACCCCATCTTATTGTGCTTCTTAGACGTTGTATTTTTCACAAATTGAAGGCAAGACCCTCCACCAGGAAAACACGTCAGACTCACTTTAGTGCGATACTAGCACGAATGAGGCGGGCTGGACCCCACTCTGGACATCTCCGAGGCGTGCCTGCCCTGCCGCGAGCAAACAGGTCTGGGAAGGGCACTGCGCTAGTGAATGGCATGGGGAGCTCTGAGTCCGGGGCTGGCTGCCTCCTGGGCCTGCTCCTGGGATGCCCTGAGGCCACTGGGCGGTGTGGGTGAGCACCGTGAGTGGCCAGGACTGACCAGTAGGCATGTCCCCGGCCTGGCCTCCTTTGGGAGCTGCTGTCAGATGCCCTCTGAGAGAGCAGCAGGCAGCCTGACGGCTCGGTGTTGCGACAGCAGAGTGGGGTTGAGGCGGGGCGCAGGCCTGGTCCCCGAAGGCCCAGGGCAGACCCTCCCCACTCTGCGGTGACCTCTGTGAACCCAACCACTTCCTACAGTCCAGCTGTTCTGGGGCTTAGGGTGTGACTCAGCCACTAACTAAAGAATATTATTTTACTCACAAAACAATGCATGCTCATTGCAGAAATAAAACCCAGGCAGAGATGAATACAGTTAGAAGTGTAAGTCTCCATGCGTCCATGTGCGTTCATGGATTTAACAAATGAGAGTGAGGAAGGTGGGGCTTGTGGGGGCTCAATATTGCTGTGAACCTAAATCTTCTCTAAAAGCTAAAGTCTATTAAACACTGTCAGTCCCTCCCTCACTTCTCTCTAGTCCAGTGATGGCGAACCTTTTGAGCTCGGCGTGTCAGCATCTTGAAAAACCCTAACTTAACTCTGGTGCCGTGTCACATATAGAAATTTTTTTTGATATTTGCAACCATAGTAAAACAAAGACTTATATTTTTGATATTTATTTTAAATATTTAAATGCCATTTAACAAAGAAAAATCAACCAAAAAATGAGTTCGCGTGTCACCTCTGACACGCGTGTCATAGGTTGGCCATCACTGCACTCTAGTCTCACTCCTCCAAGAGAACCACTGGTAGCGGGTATTTTATCTGTGCATACACATGTATATTTATATACATGTATATTTTTGCATAAAGAAAAAATTAAAAAGTAAAAGAGAGGTGATAGCATGCATTTTTTGCTATTTACTTTTTTCACTTCATAATAACAGCAAACACTTAAAAATACTTTAATGCGTGCTTGCACTGTGCTAAGAACCGCTTGTATCCTCACAACAAATCTTTTGAGCAGTTACTACACTCTCTTCATTTTCAAGTGAAAAGGCTGAGGCGGCGAGAGGATTACAGATAGTCTCGGGGGTGCACAGGAGGTGAGAGGCAACTGAGTCCCGGCAAGCGGACCCCAGCATTTTTACCCCCTAAACCACGACACACGGGCCCTCCCAATGCCAGTCACACAGTCCCATGTCAGTCCCGAGAGCTCTGCCTCTCTTTGTCATGGCTGCAAGGAATTTCAGGAGCTCAATATCCCAGCATTTATATAGCACATGTCCTAGTTATGAATATTTTCAAATATTTTTATTGTTACAAAACATATATGCAAGCTCTGATAACTCTGCACTCCATCATATTTCTCTACCTCAGCCCTTTCCTTCTCACTCATCAAAAATACCAGCTACAGACAACACATTATCAATGATCATATTCAAACCTTCTCCCTTCCGTCCATTCCCCAATCCCTGGCTATCCTGTCCCAGTGTTGCATTAAAGAGGGTCATGGGAGTGACTCTGTGCCTTCCTCCACCCATTCATTCCATTGACCAAGGGCTTAACGAGCTCCTCCTATGAATGAGGCATCGCCGGAACAGAGCTTTGGATTCAGACACACCTTGCACCATTTAACCTCTCAGAGCCTCGGTTTTCCCATCTGACAAATGGGGGCGGGGGGGCGTGGGGTATTCAACACATATGAGTTTCCATTCCCCTCTCCCTCTCGTGTCTTCCACGGGGAACTCCGTGATCCCACTGTGACTGAGAGCCCACAGCGCAGGCTGCCACCCAGGGGCCGAGTGTCAGGAGCGTCACTCTGAGGGCACTTAGTTGGGCGCCACCTCAGAAAGGACAGGGTCAGACAGGACGTCACAGGTTCCCAGGCGGCTGATGGCATCTTTCTCTGGACTGGCTCTGAGAAGCAGAGGCCGCTCCCATGTGTGTGGGTCTCCACTCCCGTCCCCAGAATCTCCCTCCCATGAATGCTGCGACCCCAAACGTCTCTCTACTCGGCCACTGTTCCATCATCAGTCGGCATAGACAGAAGCCTTGTCGGGGAGCAGGAGTGATGCCCACGTGAGGCTGGGGTGAGGGAGGCGGTATCACCACGGGTCCTCCTTGAGAAGGTCAGACGGTCACCTTGTGCGGTGCGTGCCCTCGCGGGCAGAGCACACAGGGACGCACCTGCGGCTCAAGTGCCAGACCAGGAGCTGGGATCTATGCTCTGCTGCCTGCTCTGAGCTGGTGTCACTTCTCCCTGAGGGTTAATTGTCCGCAGTGTGAAATGGGATAGTAATCAGTAGTTCTTGAGACAACAGGAGGCCTGATACTGGGTTGGTGCTCTGCAAATCCCAGGCCCTGTCCCCTCCCTTCAGTCCCAGCAGGGCTTGTATTGGATCTCCTTCCCTGCCTCCCTCCAAGCACCAAGAGGGCCCAGCCCTTACCAGAGCTGCGGAGGCTGTGTTAGGGCAGGTCCTTCGGGCCTTCAGGCCGGGCTTTCAGGCAGGGCATGGTCTTCTGGGTCCCCGAGGTGCTGCCCATCCTCAGCCCTGACCTCTTAGATGCCCACACACAGACGCTCTCTGATGGAGTGGCTCTCTCTGTGGGAAAGGGAGCTGCAGGACCAGCTAGGCAGGCAGGTGGGTGGGGCCTCCCGCAGCCCCTCCCCTGGGTGGGGCTCTGAGCCAGTCCTGGGTGTCTGTGGGAAGTGCCCAGCTCCTGTTATGACTGCTGGGCTGCCAAGGGGTTGTGCCTCAGCTATGTTCCCAGACCACAGAAGAGAATCTTGAGACCACAGACCCGTGAAAGTCAAATAAAGTGCGTGACCCCACCCACCAGGCCTGGAAGGTGGGTCGCAGGTTGGCTGAATTTGGAGGACACCCCTCTATCCTGATACCATGGGATGGGCGTTAGCAGTGTATATGGTCTTGGGCGAGCCCATTCACCTTCCTGGTCCCCAGCTTCCCATCTAGGAGGCAGAACTTGACCATTTCTAAAATCCTGAGTCCTGGTTGTGCATTGTGAGAGCATGTTGGGGATGAACAGAAAGCAATGTCTATATAAAAGGAGGCTTGCAGATCCCAGGACTACATGCTTTCCAGGCTGGGAAGTTTCAAAAAGAGCCATCGGGGCCAAGAGGATGGAGGAGAGGCTGAGCAGCCAGCCCAGGACGAGGTGGCAGAGACTTTGGGAGCAATTTGGTAGATTTCTCTATCCCTCCTCTTCCTCATCCCTATCCCTCCCACAGAGGACTCTTTAATTCCCTGAAAAGTCCTTTAGGAGCATCCATCCTCCACAGGCAGTCAAACCTCCTAACAGTCCTGCTCCAACAGTGCCCATCACCAGTGCCGGCTGAGCCCTAGTCCTCCCGTCACCACAGCCAGTGGCCCTGAAACTCGAAACTCGCTCCAGCCGCATGGGAAGGCACAGGGATTCCCAGAGGCCAGAGCTGGGAGCTGGGGAGGGAGTCCCAGCCCAGGAGAGAGCTGAGGCTGTGGCGAGATGTACCCAGGTGCCTCCTACCCTCCTGACATCACGGCCAAGCTCCTGCCCAGAGCCCCATCCCCACAGGTCTTGGAGGTGCCCAAGTGGGAAGACAGGGAGAGAAGTGGAGGGAGAGAATGGAGCTGCAGAAAGCAAAAGGAGGGAGGAGGAGGGCTGGGCCTCGAGTACAATGCTCCAGAGACGCCTTGGGCCCAAACCAGTTTCTGCAGTGTGCCCTGGAGCCGGGCCAGCCTCGCAGGCATTCGTGTGCGGGCTGGTGGGGAGCTGGCTCTGAAGAGAAAGCTCTTTGATGCCTCCTGAGGGGCCTCAGCTTCACCCGGGAACCCGGAAGGCAAGGCGGCTGGAACAGGCCAGCTAAGGAGTGGTTTCAGGTTCCCAGTGAATGGAAAGCGGTTTGGGGTTTTCCTCAGAATTTCAAGATGTTCTTACATGAAACAAAGGCTCGAAAGAAACAAATACAGTTCAGAGCTGGGAGGTAGGAGTGGACAGGGCGGAGGGGGAGGGGGGACTCCTTCTGACTCAGATCAGTGAGACTGAGAAGAAAGAACAAGGACCGGCCAGCTGGATGGCTTTGGGCAAGTTATTTAACCTCTCGGGACCTCGGCTTCTTACCTGACAAGCGGGGGGATGATTCCTCACAGTGCTAAGGCGAGAGTTCAGGAATGACAGGTGTGAGAGCATATCTGAAACTACCTGGCACGTTGCACCTGACACATTGTAGATGCTCAGTAGATTGTTCTTTTTATCCTGATGTTGTTAGTATCTTCTCATGTGTGTACTTATCTGTCCAAGTATCTATCATCTATCATTAATCTCTCATTTATCTCTAGCTCCACCATTAATCTATGTATCTATGCATCTATCTATCTATCTATCTATCATCTATCTATCTGTCTGTCTATCTAATCTATCTATTATCTATCTATCATCTATCTATTATCTATCTAGTCTATCCATCTATCATGCATTCACCCTGTATTTAATCTTCCCAATCTGATTGTTAGTACTTTAATTGTTCAGGTTTGTATTGATTCTATGTCAGCATTCAGTAAATATATTAATAGACTGATTATACGTGGGGGTCAGGGCAAGCCAGAACTCAAGTTCATAAAGTAGGTACAATAGAGGGTCTTACCTCTCAGTTTCAAACAAAGCTTCAATTTAGTGCCAGCTTCTTAGATTTCTTTCCGACCAACTGAAGGAAGAGCCAGAGCGGGGAGCTCCCAGGGGAGCCAGGGTCTTCTCCTGTGGTCTCAGGCTGACTTGCACCTTCGCTCCCGACTCCTGGCATCCTCTGCACCAGCCAGGCCACCTGGTGCCCAAGTGTGACCTCTAGTCTCAGGCTGCCTGAGGTCAGTGGCATTTCAGGATGCCCAGCTCTGCAGACATCCTGCCCACGGGCTCCCCATTTTGGTGTCCACCTCCTAAGGCACATGGCCACACCCCTTCCTAGAGGAAGCAGAAATAACAAAGTCTGTCCCAGAAAAACAAAGGCCAGAGTGGTCACCATGCACACAGGATACTAATGCTATATAATAAAAGGCTAATATGCAAATAGACTGAATGGTGGAACGACCGGTCACTATGATGCACACTAACCCCCAAAGGGCAGACACTCAACATAAGAGCTGCCCCCTGGTGGTCAGTGCGCTCCTCCAGGGACAGTACCACTCAGCCAGAAGCTGGGTTCATGGCTGGCGAGCACAGTGGTGGTGGCGGGAGCTTCTTCCTCCTCTCCTGCCTCCATGGCAGTGCTACGGATGTCTGACTGCCGACTTAGCCAGGGGTCCTCAAACTTTTTAAACAGGGGGCCTGCCAGGAGCCGGTCCAAGATCACCTCTCCGAAGTCAGAAGCACAAAGGGACACAGTTTGGCGTTGCAGAAAGAGCCCGGGTCTGAGTCACACAGATCTGGACTCAAAACCCCGACTCTCCATTACTTATTGGCTGTGCGTGGACTAAATATGGCTACAATCTCTTTACGACCCCTCCCATCAAAAAGTGAAGTCTGGTTCCCCTCCTTGAATCTGGGCAGGCCCCAAG